AAATTTGATTGATAAATTCTAAGATCTTCTCTAAATACTATAACTTAGTAGAAGTCTTAAAATCTTGAACCATTAAAACAAAAGAAGAAGAAGAAAAAAAAAAGCAACAAACTTGTCACTTGAGGATCTATCTAGATCTATTTTATGAAAAATAGACTAATTTTTGCCCAAATGAAAGAAATGATCGGTGAACCTACTCCGTAAAAAATAGACTAATGCAAGGAGACTATTCACAATATTTTTTTACTGCAATTATAAATGAAACAAATTGCTGCTACTGCTGGTAAAAAAAAATTACAATAAGAAAATTTATATAAAATTTATATGTTAATAAATTCCCACCATTGCAATAAATTGTCTTATCTCAAAAGAAAATTACAATAAAAAATTAAATGTGGAGTGGATCGTCAAGAATTAGAGACAAGACAACAAAATCTTTACAAAGTTCAAAGGAATATGCCAAGTCGACGGTAGAGAAGCCACCCTTCTTCTCCACCATCCACTTTATTTTTTTAGTTTATTTTTTTTTATAAAAAAAATTCTCATTAAATCATTAAAATTTCCAATAATATTCAAGACAATTTCCCCACCATTTATACAACTTTCAACATCAATCGTAAAATTAAAAACACTATACCCATCTGAAATCATTGTTTAGATGCTAAACTAATAATTTATTGAAAAACAACCAATTCACATGGATCAAATGTGAACCAGACAAAAAACTAGAACTTCATTGGTGGAGAATTAGAATATTCCAAATTTCTATTAAATCAATTACTAAAAATCAACCAATGCTACACCCTTGGACTCTGCGTGATCACATTTCACTTAACATATGCTTAAAACTCAGGATAATTTCTTCATTATAAATAACGAATGTTAGATCTGATTTCTCTTAAAAATGTTTTAATCCGATGTAAAATTTTGTTGACAATATTATAGTTGTAATATGCATATGATTATAATTTTATAATTATAGTAAATAAATATAATATTATGAGTAAACTTTTAAATTAAAGGAATTAATTTTTTTAATTATAAATATAATTATAAATTATAAAAAAAATTACGATATATATCATAATCATTTTCAAAATAATTAAATTAAATAGAATCATTTTAAATAATTTTTTAATATTTATAAAAAAATTAATATTTGTCAACTAAAATTTAAAGGATTAAAAAAAATCTTAAAATTCTTTCGTTCCATTACAACACTATGAAAAAGGAGATTGATATTTTTTTTTCTTAATTTTTTAAAGATTTAATTGCCAAATATATTTTCTTTTACTAACATTTATTTACACAAGGGTTAAGGCCATCTATCGTCCCTCTACTATCCAAAATAGTGCATTCTAAACCTTCTACTATGGATTGGCTTCATGTCGTCCCTCTACTATCAATTAACTCTACCTGTCATCCCTCTACAATGCAAAAGCATGCACTTGTCGTCCCTCCATCCACTGTAAGGTACGGTGCTCTTTATTGACGATTAAGTGTGACGATATTGACTGTGAAGTGTGAGATAACACCGGTTAGGTCTTTTTTAATATTTTTTTTTCACCTTACCTTGTGGAACCCACCTTACCACATCATCTCTAACAGAACTTTTTTACCTTACCGTTGCCTGCCTAACATGTATTCGCGGTAACTATGGAATTTACAATTTTTAATTTTCAAATATGAAAATCCCATCATTTGGATAAGATAATGGATAAATAAAGATAATAATTTTATTATTAATCAATTTAAAAATACAAACTTTTCAGATTTTGAATTAAAAAGTAAATTTCTTTTTTATTTCAAATGATAATATAAAATTTTACAATCTTTTTTACTTTTTTTTAAGATTTATTAGAAAATAATGATAACGTAACAAATAATAAATTTAATCAAAAGAAGATAATATTTATGTATTTAACTTAAAAAAGTGAAAATTTACGATTACATACTTCAAAAATTAAGGAAATTTTAAGTAATGTCGTGAGATACTCAGATATATAGTTTACTAACATATTCAATAAGGATTAGTTTTTTTTTTTTTTGTTTAATTTAAAATTTCAAAAAATTTAAAAAGTAAAAGTTTACTATTTAATTTAAAAATTCAAAAAATTTATTTCAATAAAAAAAATATGATAAATTCATATTTTTATTTAACCCATTTCTATTCATTTGAGAATTCACCAAAATTTCAAATTTATCCGAATAGAACACCAACCATTATTTGTGTGGATGCAAAATATTTCATTTAAAATCAATGGATTCCCTTATCATTCTTTGCAATTTTCTTTTTTTTTTTAAAAAAAAAGGAGGTTGAAGATGCAAATAATTTCATTTAAAATCAACCAGAATACAAAGAAAGGAAAAACTGTCACAAAAAAATTGAAGAAAAAAAAAAAAAAAAAACCAGGTTAAAGATGCAAATAATTTCATTTAAAATCA